AGTTGCACTTCGTATAATTAGCAGGTGATGTGATCATCTGCATTCATCTGCATCACTTGATTTGGTCCATCACATTATACATCGATCAAAATTCATTTGAGAGCAAAATATGAAACTTTTATTACAAGTGGAGAGCGGCTGCACGAGGGCAGTAATGGCCGCCAGGAAATGAGCAACGACGTCATATTTTCGTAATGACAGGAATGAATTCCCTTGCGCAAGGATTTTATCATATATTGCTTCCGACCGGGACTGCTCAGTCGGCAGAGCGTCGACCTCAGAACCGGTAGGTCCCAAACTCAAGACACGGTCGGGGTCACACGCTCCCTTTTTCCTGATAGTGACAAATGAGCACAACTCTGTGGGAAAAAAGCAGGAGACTATACGTATGCTTACCACATGGCTGCAGACTCTGCCTTAAAAAACAAGGCACCCCCGGCTGATGGCACAGAATCGGAGATCAGCATCGCAACACCAACTTCATGAAAAGAATGGATCATAAGGGTCCAATCATGAAAGTAAAGGAAGCCGGACATTCTGACGCTGAAAAACTTTCCTTTCTTTCCTTCAACAACAAATCAGAGAATGGATGAATGAAAAAACGACGCAATCAAGTATCCAATGGCCTGCGCTAAGCATACTAGATCACGAAATGTGGCTTGATCACAGTCAGCAATCCACAGGCGGCATGTCATTAAACACTCTGAACTCGCGCCCTATCAATGAAGATCATGAAGGAATACTATATCAAAGGTGCAAAGGACAAAGAACATCATTTCAAAGTAGCTGCTGACAGATTTGCATATCAGAAATGAAAGCATCTCCAGAGGAAACCAGCAAACATCAAACATCAGAAATCGTCGAACAAATCAGCAAAAAATCGAATCATTAAACTTTTCACCTTTCAACAAAACAACGGTTTTAGCTGCGAAACTAATTATATAATTACGAATATTATCGCTTGTGCATAGCTCCGATGAGAGCCTCTGTGCGGAAAGCATAAATGTCGAAATAAAGAAGAAAACTAGCATTGCGTCTTAAGCCACAGTTTTGTTGAAAAGATGAACAAATTTAATTTCGATAGAATGCACTGTCAAAAATCTTCCAAAGAAATAGAGTTACTAACCTCGAAAGAAAACATTCCATTGTCATTTGAAAGTTTCGTCGTCTTAGCGTTATTAATAAGTGTCCTCTGTGCCGACACGTCTCTGCTCAATTTCGGCAGTTTGAACGTTGAAGGGAAACCTTTGGCAACCGGCGCTGACCTGATCTGCAGTCTTTGTACGGATGCAAAGCGAACGGCGCCATCGTTCGCTGACTGGTTGAGCGACCGAAACGGTACCCCTTCCAGTGTGTAAGCCCGTACACAGTCCTCTACTTCTTTGTTAAAGCAAAGCGGCAGGCTATTCATAGCTGTGCCAGAATACCTAATGTGCACCTCGCCAGATCCGAAGTCCAATAAAAACAGCATGGCTGAATATTCATCATCGGCTTCCAAAAAACATTCATTCGGATTCGAGTTCTGAAATAAGCACACGTCAATCACGTCACACAAACGCAAATAACACACGTACACTGAGCTGCTCTGTAAAACACTGTTAAAACAACGCTTAATTATATTACCAAATTCATTTAAAAAACAAGACTCACTTCGGTTGTTTTTTACTAACGTGATTTTTCTTCAGCTAGTAGCAGTGATTTCCGGAAAATGAAGAAGTTTACGAGGCATCGCCTCTGACAGAAACCTGTCAAAAACCCGCAACTGAACCCCTGGGGCTTTACGGTATTTACTAAGAAAGAAAAATGGAATTCTGATTCTTGGTACGATCCAACTTCTGAGTAGAAAACAATCTTTATGTCGAAACAAACAGATACTGGAATCGTCTATACGAAACTTACCATGGCTTCAGGCAGCTCGTCACCTTTGCTGAACGTGAATCCAATCTACAATATACACATACATAAGTGTCTGTCGAAATATTACGAATGAAGGTAACGTCACATAAGACATATACGACCACAAATAGTCACTAGCCACTGGGAAAACTGTCGATGGGATCGCCGATTGAGCTACACATGCAACAATTAAAGCTAAAGACTATTGAATCTCCTGTGATGATTGCTGTTATTCTTTGTTACTACCAACAACAGTACGGCACTTCAAAAGTACAAATCGAAATAACACTCAGCGTCTGTGCTAAACTTCTAGGCAAACGATGATTCTTTTAATAATGTAAATATATAAACATGTTTATTTACTCTAGAGGAAAAGAGATCTGAGTCGGTAGCATGGAGTCCGCTA